GGTCCGATGCTCGGGTGGATGGGAGGGGGAGCATGAGCTGAGTTGTTTGGGTTGTGGTTATGGTTTGGTTATATTCCCATTATTCCTGTTTCATCATCTTCGTTGCTTATTATCTTTGGTTGATTTAGGTTTGTTAGTTTCAGTTGGTGTTTCTGACTTTCTTCGTGTCTGTTCATAGCATACTTTCTCACCATACACTTACACAATGGACATTCTGATTTGAGATTGTGCTTTTTGTTTCGTTCTTCTTGGTTTTGTTTGTAGTATTCTTTGGATTTCTCATTTTCCCTTTCTCTATATTTTTTTCTATATCTTCGTTTGCTTTCAAGGCATAGGACACATTGTTTTTTTTACCATCCTCAAACCTGTAGAGCGGTTGAAAGACTTTACATTTTGAACATTGCTTCTTGTCAGTCATTCGGTCTCTATATTGTCAAGGGGTTATGTCTTTAGATTGTTTTTAGGGGTGTTTGGTTTGCCGACCGTTGCCTCCCCGCATCGCCACGTCTTCATGCTCTTCATTTTTGTTAGTGTTGGGACACCCAGTGCTTGGAGAGAGGACTTGTGCAATCTCGTTTTGTGTCGTCGTGCGAACTTGCCTTCATAGAGTTTTGGCGGAAGTGCTTGATTTTGAAGGTTTTATGTTCTCAATCTTTGTTCGCTCAGACAAGATTGGGGCTCAAGACCCCGCAACAGCCAGAGGATGTTGGGTTCATGGCGAAATGGATTGGGGAGAAAAGTGTGCCCCTCATCTTTGGTAGTGGGGTCAGCGGCTCTCTCATGGCCGTTGCGTGGAACTCCACCGAGCAAGACCGGATGGCTCGTGCCATCCAAAAGGGGCGCTTTCGCCCAAAACAACCGGAGGACTTCCAAAGCGAGTTCGTGAACTTTGACCTCCCAGCCATCCACCGAGGTCTTGGCAAGAATGGCATGGTGGCTCTCATTGGCATGCAAGCCACTGGAAAAACCACCACGCTTCAACATGTTCTGTGGGAGGCCGAGAACCCCTTTTTCATGAAGGTCTCCCACGACGACGTGCATCGAGCCATCCACAATGAGTTGCGCCAGAGCATTTGGAAGCTCCCGTGGCTTCTGGATGGCATGAGGATGGATTGGGGGAAGACCCACGAGCGTGTGGTGACCGAGGTCTTTGAGAAGGTGAATGAGAAAACCCAAAAGCCGGTTCGCCTTGGCTTTGATGTGGTGGCTGCGACAAAGCAGGGAATGGATGAGCCACAGGTCTCCAACATCATTGAGATGACCACCGGCAAAGAGCACCTTCATTTCCCCACCCACTTTGATGCGAAGTTCTTTGTAAAGCAAGTGAAGTACCTGTGCGCAGACAGGCACTTGTCATCGGCCCTCATCTCCTCCAGCGAGGGCTTGATGATGCTGTCGTTAGGAGAGCCTCGTCTTCGTAAGATGCTTGGAAGAGAGCTACCCATGGCCAAGTCCAAGGCCTACCTCAAGGCCATGGGTGAGGAAAACATCAGCGAAGAGATGCTGATGAAGATGCCCAGAACCTTTGAGAAGTTGAAGGAGCTCAAGGAATCAGCTGACAAGGAGACCTTTTGCAACAAGCAGATGCAAACGTGGGTGGAGGCCATTGAGAAGACCAACAGTCAGCCCTTCACAGATCTCAAGAGACTTTACCAGAAGGCCTTGCATGAGCCGATCGGCATTGGTGACATCAAAAGGGCTACATCCAGCAAGTTGGCAGACGCCGAACAGGGGTTCATCCGCAATATGGTCAAGACTAACATCTTCACGCCCCGAGATGATGGTCGCTATGAGTTGCAGTTTGACTGTCAGCATGAGGCCGTCAAGAAGGTCTTTGACCTCTAGAACCACTGAGGGGCGTTTGTAATGTTCAGGCAATCACTGCCCAATTGCGGTAGACAGACACCTTTGGACAGCCTTCACAGAAAAAACGAACGAGACCCTTTGTCTTGATGAGCACTCCCTCATTCCCTCAAGGATGGAGATGACCTCATCCTCATATTCAGGGTTTCCTCATATTTGTTGCTTTCCCCCAGAAGAATTAGGGTTTTTGGATATGAGGAAGACCTCATAGTAGGATGAGAGTTTTGTCATCCCCAATGAGACTTTCTTCATTCTAAAACCTTCAGTCCATCGCCCATCCGCTCCGAGGTTGAGAAGACATCGTTTTCAACAAGTTCGTGGAGGGAAGAGTTGTCCGAGGGAATTGAACAAAAGAAAAAAACGTTTTCAAGTGTTGAAAGTTTCATCAGAGACTAGTTTTCTTCGTGCGGTTAGTCATTCAGAGGTTGAGAAGTAAAACCCCTATTTCAATATTAGGAGACATCCACACTCACACATATAATATACAGCGTTAAACCACATGCTCCCTTATCAAACCTGACTTGTCAGAAGGGAGGTCTTCATCATCAACTTGCGGAGAACCTCTTTTTCCTGTGTTAAGGGCATCGCCCATTACCGCACCCTCAAAGGAAGTTTAGAAGAAACTTCCAACTTACATCACACCCCATCGCACTACACAACACCCCCACACACAACATCACGAGACCAACAACATGCATTCCTACCCAACACATACCTATCTAAGAATGCCCCAAACTAATTTAAAACATCAAAAATCCAACTTTTCAGGCATTAATTTTTTCCAGCCCAAAACGATCACCAGACACAAAACCCAAAATCACTTAAAGAAATGTCACCTTATATAATAAGTAAATTATGTCTTGCTTTTTGGTAATGGATGGAATAAAACAAGAAATTGATGAGGATTTATTTGAACAAATGTCAGAAGAACTTCATAGACCAAAGACCCAAAATTCAAGGTGGAAACCCGACGGAACATATGATAAGA